ATAATTTTCAAAAGTACATCTAAATTATATTTAGGATGTATTTTTATCAAATTTGACAAATAATTGGATCTCTCAAATGTAATTTTGATAGATGTAAATTGAAACTAAGCAGACACTAAGTCAACTAAATTGTCCTTTTTAATGGTATTATTTACATTTGTCTCAAAAGGAAAAGGTTTTTAATAATGGTTAGTTTTCATGAATTAATTGTAGAATATTTGTTCTTTTGAATAAGTCTTGACTTAAAGTCTACTTTGCTTACTCTTTTTGGATTAAGCTAATATTAAACTTAATTAATTAAACAGGACTTATAGAACAAGCCAGGGAAACTTATAAATCAAGGCTTATAAAAGCAAAGTCAAGAACTCAAGGTGGCTCACGAAGCAACCGAAGCATGCGTGTTTTTATTTTTTAAAAAATTTGAAGATAAAAAAAACTGTGGTCAAATACATTGTAATTTTCTTTATATTTCTCTAAGGCCCTGTTTGATATTTTAGAATTCTTCATGTTGAATCAAAAACAGAAAAAGATTCTTGGTTGGAGCATGTTTGGTAGTTTTGAATTTTGATTTTCAAGAATTCCAATTCAATCAAAGAACTTAGAATCCAATTCTTTTTCAAAGTCGATGGAATCAGATCGATTCACATGAAATCGGCTCTTGAGACCCCTTTGCCGTCAATAAAATTGTCACATCTGCACCTTAGAAACTTGTAGTGTCGCGCCTCCACAGTCCACTACTATCGTAGATTTATCTTCTTATGTAGCTATTCTCCATCTTCTTCATCTACATTTTTTTTTTGGACTGAAACTTCCTCTTCAATTTTAAGGAGAGATGAGAAACAAAATAGGAGCAGCTCTTTCACAGCAAAGGAGAAGCATGGGGGAGAAGAGCAACTCTTTCGCTTGGGCAGGCGGTGACAGGGTGAGGCTAGCGAGAGAAATCAAATTTAAACAGTCCCGATCAAGAAGGAGGATGCCGACAAGGTCCAAATACCTGAGTGCCCTAAATTTACTTCAAATTTGGAAGCAGCTCGTTATTGGAGAACAAAGGTACTAGTCCTTTGAACATAAGAGAGATTATCATGTTTTTCTTTGTTTTTATTTATAAGCAAAATTACAATTGTCAAGAAACATTTATCATAGTTTTTCAAGTTGTTTCTCATAAAATCAATGTTTATTTTCACTAGATAACTTTGTTTCATTAATTATAGGATAATTTAGTTCAATTTTTTTTTATTTTTAAACATAATTATTACGCTTCATCAACTTTCATAAACTGTGTAAGTTGGTTATTTTCTCTTATATTCAGAAACGGAGTTGGTGTTTCATGAAAATTTTTGCTATCGCTCCATTTCTCTCTTTGCATGTAGGGACTACGGCTTGCTGTGGTGAATGGCGGCCCATTGAGTGTTGATGAAACTCCAACTCTGCCGGTAAGAGTTTTGTTTTCAAAGGAGCTTGATAGTTGTGGAGTGATAGATATGTTCCAAATTGATGGATCAGTTACTTTTGGTGATGACCAACAATTCCGAAACTCAAAAGTAGTCAAGTTGGGATCTGAGCAAGAGCTTTGGACAGGTCCTATTCCCAGAAAAATGTTGAACCCCCAATTTCTACGAAGTTTAACAGTGAGACAATGGGGAAAGTTGAAGTCATTGTTTCCTCTTGATGTCATTCATGATAGCCTACCAGAGTTAGGTTTCATGAACATTAGTGACTGTGAGGAATTGGAGGAAATTGTTGAAGAGAAGGGAGAACAACAGAACGGATCGACTACCAAGGTATCAGGATGCTTTTGGAAGCTAAGAGAACTAGTGGCGGAGAGGTGCAACAAAAAGACTCTTTCCTGCATCAATAGACAGAGAGCTTCCACAGCTAGAGATTTTGTATATGTCAGAGGCTGCTGAGTTAAAAGAACTGTTTGGTCGTCACAGTGAAGGAAGCATCAACAATGATGGGCAGAAGATAATGCTTCCAAACTTGGAAATGCTAACACTCTTCCATTTACCTTGTCTTGTGGGGTTAAGGAGTGAACTGAAGATGCCATATGCTATCAAATACAGGATACTGGGTTGCCCCAATTCTGGGTTTCCAGAAGGACGAAATTATTGAAGTTTTACCTTATTCTCTCCCAGCAGACAATATGCTGTCTAAAATTTGTCTCTCCAATGATCTGCGTGAGTAAAGAATCAAGAACTATTGCCAGTAACTACTGCATTTTCTGGCTCAACTTTACTAGGTTTTGCTTGGCAAAGCTGATCACTGATATATCCCATATCTGATATATTTTCTCGGTTAATTAGCTTTTTCGAATCAATTTTAATATGATTGTTTGTTATTGCGTTGGTAAGAGTTAGCAACTTAGCATATATTTTGAGTACACCTAATTATATGATTTAATCAAACCATTCACAGCTTTGCGTCTTTTTTATTATACAATCAAATTAAACACAAACATACACAAACATGTTAATGTCAAGTTTGAGTTCAAGATCTCTTCTAAATAAGAGAAGTGGCATCGTCATTGGGACAGCTTATTATTAACATGGCTTTGCATCTTCATTCATGAAAGTAGTGTTTCATCATCCTGTAGTTATTTCTAAGCTCAAATTTTGGATGGTTTGGATCAAGCATTTAGTGTCTCACACTTGTATATTCAATGGGAATGATGATTGTTTTTAAAATTAATTTAAACTGAAATAAATGATAAAATAATGATGTTCCATTAATTATTAGCTTTTTTAATTAGCTTGTATTCTTTTTACCACTTTCTCTCTTCAATAAGTTCATTAGCTTATATTCCATTAACTACTGATCACCTTTTATTAGTAATTAAGTAATAATTAAAATAATTAATTAGGAATCACTGATAAAAAAATTATCCTTATCATTGTCAAGATTTTGAGTGATAAAACTAATTAAAAATCGCCCCTAAAAACTTTTTGAGCAACAAATAGTCATCTTTCCAAGTATGGGCGTTTTAAATAAGGTATTTTATTTTCATGATTAATCTAAGTTGTAGTCAAGTGGCTTTAAATTCAAATGTTAAAAATAGAAAATTAATGTGTTAAAAATTTGTATTATATTATAATTGATAAAAAAAAATTTTCCCTCATTTATTTTTAGTGATAAAATTGTGTTCACCATGATAACGGGTAGGAAATCCTCGTGTGACTGTCTAAACAAGTTATGGTGTATATGGATATATCCTCGATAAAAAATTATCTCGTCAAGCTTAAAAATAAAAAAATAAATTAAAATATAGGTTTTCTTTTTTAACACAAATTTAAAACCAAGCTACGTGTTCTGTTCTCTAATTCTTGCTTGCTGCTGCTGCTGGAAGGTGCTAATATTTTTTTTTTAAAAAAAACAAAAGTCCAGATTTTTTTTTAATATTTACATTTAGGATTCATCTTCCTTTGAGTTTCAACTTTGAATTGGCCCATCCACATGTGGCCCATCTTTGCACATGACCCCTATATAAGGATGACGACTACAAAAAGAGTGAAATATTTTCTTAAATTAATAAAATACAAAACCCTGGAATCACAAAATGTTTGAATAGATTGTCACACTTATTCAAGTTTAGTATGTGATGGCTTAGTTTGATTTTTAAATTTATTATTTTCTTTGCCGACTTGATTACGACAACTTATTTTCCAACATTTTCAAGTGACTAAGGCAGAATTATAATTTGTATTCCTTATTTTTTTTCGGTATTTTCTGGGATAACGGTTCACAGAGGGAGCCAGGGTTTAAAATTTAAATTATATTTTTAATCTATGTTTCATGCATACATGTCCTGTATCTTGTTAGCCAGATTGGTACTGGTTCGTGAAGCAGGAGCTTGGTAGACACATTGTTAGGATATTCAAATGTAAATATATTTGACTGGATAAAGTAAGTTTCAACGGATTCAATTAAATTTTATAAAAAATATATAATAAAGGAAAAGGATGATTAATAAAAATAAGTTTAATCCATTATTTGTAAAGCATCATATTTTACCAATAAATATGGGTTTTAATAGAAGGAGTTATAGCCGTTTAAAAGCATGATTTCAAACTTGAGTCTTTGTGAATGCAGAAACACATATTTAAAAGAACTACCCCAATTATCATGATTTGTCAGTAAAATTTTTAAATAGATAATTTATTAAGTTCAAGCTTTTGTTTTAATTTATTGCTTACTCGTTTCTAATTTTATGATTTAATGTATAGAACTTTTTTATGTTTAGATTACTTATGTGAGACTTGGAAGTAATTTTTCCTAAATGAAACTCGTAAAATGATCCAAACGATATCTCATTTGAACGTTGAGTTACAAGCACCTCATCTTAAAATTCATATATTCCTTATCACTGAACTTGAACTATGGAGGCCTAAATCTAGATGACCTAGACACCATGATGACTCCATGGAATCAATTTCTTTACTGTAAGCATAAGTTCACGCGACTATCCACAAAAAGAAATTACGCTACTTCCATTTACATTCCAATGGTGCGTCCATGTATATATAAATAATATAATGGAGAATCTTGGTGCAGGTGACTTTCTTGGAATTTAAATCTAGTGCGTGTTTAGCTTGGTGTTAAATAGGAAAGATATTCACGCGTGTTTTGATAACAGTTCTCATGCTTCTTTTTTTTTTTGTTATTCCAAATCTCTTAAATTTTATCTGTCTGTAGTATTTGTTCTTCTTTTTTTTTTTGTTTTTTTTTCTTTTGCAAATGTGATTATTAGAATTTAATATTGTTTAACATGCATATAACTATATTATTTTTTCTGTCGATTTGTTAAAATTATGATGAGTTGTATAAAAATAAGTAATAGGCCAAAAAAAAAAAAATACAATAAGTAGAACATTAAACCATAATCATTAAACGTGCAATGAAGCTCTGAAAAAAAGAAGACACAGAAAATAAGAGCAGGCAAACAAAAATGTTAGTGGCCGTTACTTATATAATATCCAACTTATCATAATTTTACTTAGTATTAGATTTAAAAGATTTATATACTCATCAGCAGATTTAACTTCATTAATGGTAATAAAAACAACAACAACAAAAAGTATAAGAACCAATACCAAAACATCTCTAAAAAGCAAAGGAACCAAACTGTTTGTGTTAAAAATAAATAAAATGAATTGATTTCTTCAATATGTTGTTTTGACTACTCTGCCAAAAAAAAGTCAAATATAAGTATGCAGAAAGTCGTCCAAATTCTCAGTTTTTGCTTCAAATCTTCCAATTATCCTACTTGCGTGCTTCCATTCTTCAATTTTCTTGTGTTTCAACCTTTTTCCAAGACTAACAATTATCAGAGGCAGTCCCTTGCATTTTCCAACAATGTCCTCTGCAACAGCCTTGAGAGCAGGATCATTATCAACAATCTCACCTGTCACATTTCCAAATAGCTTCCATGATTCTTCTTCTGATAGAGCTTTAATCTCTACCTTCTTCACCCCTTCATCTTCCATAGCTCTCCACATGTTTTCATCCTCTGTGGCTATCATCATCTTGCTTCCTTTGTTCTCAGCGGGGATACCAATTGCTTCCAAATCAAGCCTTTGCTTCACACCATCAAAGATTATCAGTGTCTTCTTCTCATTCTTCAGTCTCAAGTAGAGACGGCGAGCTCTTCCAACATCACTCTCTTCTTGAATTCTCAGACCCAACATGTCTGCTATCTGGTTTTGAATGTCCCTAGTGTCAGGGGTGCTGGACTTAGGATCAACACCAACTATGACAACCTGATCAAACAAATTCTTCTCCTTGACTCTTCTTCCCACTTCTTTCACCAATTCTGTCTTCCCAATCCCTCTGGATCCGTGAAGAACAACCGCATTACACTCATCTTCCTCCAGTGCTTTCAGAATCTGATCCGTAACTTCGATTCTTGAGTCGAAGGCAATGAAATTTCTGGAGGATGAGTATTCTATGCCAGGAAGAGGAGCTGTGCGAGAGATCCGATCGAAATTCTTAGCTTGTTCTTGAAGCTCAGCGACAGATTTCACCTTCTTCGTCGATTTTCTACTGAGACGGTAGCGATTGACGCAATTAGGGCAGACTCCACCGAAGCAACTCTTGCTAGTCTTGCTCTGTTCTTCGATCTTCACAACTTGTTCGATGATCCGATCCACATTCACGAGCCATCGATTCACTTGGGGTTCGATGAGATCTCCTTTCATTGTGGCTCGTTGAACCTCTTGATTCACCTGAAGCCGCAGATTTTTTAGCCTCTCTGCTTGTTCACTGAGATTGTTGACATTTCTGGTGAAGTCGAAGAGGTAATCGAACTGACGAAGGATTGGATGGACCGGGTATTCGGCGATCTTCGCTGCGATAGAGATCAGAATGCTCGTCATTGTGGGTGGAATTGAACTTGGATGATTGATTGTTTGATACAGAGAAGAAGAGAAGGAATGTGGGGCAATTTATAACAGAATCGAACATGGAGATTGTGACTGGCATCTTCAAGTTTCGTGGAAAGAGAATTGAAAATGCGAAGAAAGAAGACGTATCGTGTCTTCAGGAAAATTCCGTTTCTTTTCTGAAGAGGTTTCTTTGGCTTTAGTTTGAATATATATATATATATATATATATAGTTGTCAATTAGAGCCGATGAGCTCAAAAATAACTAAAATTGGGTCACTGTTTTAAAAGAAAGAATGGCAATTCAGGCTTAAAAGGGCTCTTTTAAATCAAAAAAAAATAAAAGGGTCAATCCTTTTAAGACCTTTTATTATTTTTTAAAAAATTATAATAAAAAATAAAAGATTAAATATATAACTCAAATAAATGAATATATTAAATGCATTCATCCATTCCTCATTTATTTATTAAGATTTAGCTGATAATATTAGCTAAATTTAATTTTTATTGATATTTATTTTGATGTTATTATTTGACATTAGAACTAAATGTTTTAATTTGATGTTGTTATTTGATATTAGAACTAAATGTTTTAATTTTTTTTATTGTTGTGGTATAAATTGATTTAAATTTATTTTCTTAAACTTAATTTTATGTATAATAACTTTTTTATAATTTTAAATTAAAAAATAATTTTAAAAAAATAGGGCTGGCCCTCATTAACCTTGAGGGCTAGGGCCGGGTATTATAAAATAAAACTCTGACATACAATTGAGCTTATTAAAATCAGCCCGTTTAGGCCTGACCCTTCAAGAGCAAGCCCTTTAAGGTCGGATTGGTCCTAGTTGATAGCTCTGTTTGTGTTTGTATTTGTTTTTCTAATGCTACTTTTATAATATAATATTTAAAATGATTGTTCAAAACAAAAACCATTACTATGAATATGTTAATTTAAAAGTAGAGTTAAAATTAAAATATCAGTAGATATTAGTTGATAATTATGGCTTATAATAAATATTTATCATAAATAACAATAAATTTTAATAATTAAATATGGTATGTTTTGAAAAAAACATATAAAAGTTTTCAGGTTTTATTTATTTATTTTTTTAAAAAAATAAAATAATTTTAAAAACATTTAAATCTAAAATATTTACCTAAATAAATTTTTTATTTTAAAAATAAAAAAATTCTTGAAAATAAAAGAAAACTTCAATTGAAATTAGTAGTTTTTTAAATGATAATATAATTTTTAATCCTTAAATTTTTTTTAAATTATTAATTTAATTTTTGAATTATAATTCAGCACAACTTAACTTTTATAATTTATTGAATTAAAAAATTATAAAAATTAAGTTGTGCTTAACTAATAAAAAAAATATAAAAATATGAGGATTGAGTTGTTTGGTGTGCCATCTCCCATAAAAGTTAAAACCACTGCCATCTATCGACAGCACCCATAAACTCTCGTGATTAGTCTCGCTCCAAGAAGTCCATCGGCTAACTTTCCACAATGGCAATGCTTCCTTGGTCCTTCATAGCTTAGCTTAGCACCCAGCCATAGCATGTTCGCCCTCCTTGTAATGGTTAAAGTCCTTCGGCTGCTTGCTACTGCACTCGACGAAGACGGCTTCACAATTAACAGCCTCTTCAAGCTTTTCTGTTCCTCACTCACAAAGTTGTCCTTTTGCGTTTGACTATCTTAGCTCAGGAAGCATTAAAGTTCTTTTATAAAAGAAGAGTAAGGTAGAATTGGGCAGACTAAAATAACGACAATATGAACGTGCCAACAACCCACAGTAACAGAGCCTCACTGGACTCACATTGTCGTATTCAACCTCTCTCGACCGCTGCTGCTAAGGCGAAAGTTAAAAGATACTGAAATTGAATAAACTAAAAGTTGATGAAGGAAGGAAAGAATGTGGTTGAGGGAAGTAAAGAAGCTGGGAATACTGAGGAAACCAAAATAATTTTGAGAGACTGAAGAAGAATAGGATCTGTCCATTCCAAGTAAAGTATTCATTGTTTCATCAGTATTACAAAACCCTAGCTAGCTATCAATCGTATAACTTCATCGATCTGTTTCCATTATTGCTTTCATTTCTTCATCTGCAACCTCAAGTCAGGAGTTTGCATCTCAACTAGAGACACTATAAGGTGTGAACCTCGATCCATCTCTTTTCGTAAGCAAAAATTCTTTACTAATTGTGAAAATCTATCAACATTTTTGTTGTTTTGAATCTGGTTACTTCTTGACACATTACTACAGTAAGTGGTTTCAGAAGTGCACGCATGGAATCGTTTCTAATAGAAACGTTTTCTTAGGTTAAAAGTAAGTGGTCCCATAAGCTTATTTTGTAATAATGCCATCTCCTTTAACCAAAAAATAAGAATTGGATTATAACATTCATGGTCCTTAAATGAGATCAACGTCGCTTTTGTATTCTCCTTTTAATTTCCTTCCCCCTTCTTTAGTATTTTTTATTAACGATCCACCCTCTGAAATACTTTACTAGAGTTAATAACTTTCATTTAATAAAGTTATACTACACCACACAGTGTTATTGAGCTTCATCTGTGACTTGATAATTGAAACAGATCAGTTACTGTTGCTGGCATTTCTGGTTCTGCAATCTCAAGAATCTGTAACTGAAGAGCGACACAGTGAGGTATGAAACTCTCTATTCATAAACGTTAAACCTTTCGTTTACAGTCCCTGAGAAAATATCTCTAGCTTTTTCTAACCTTTCTTTGTTTAACATTTTGCCATCTGCATTTCTTGAATTTTATATTCTTTTGATCTTTCTTTATCCTAAAACTAAGTTCATGCTAGTCTCTCTCTCTCTCTCTCTCTCACGCACACACGCACACACACACAAAACACATTCCTTACTTGTGTTTGTGTCTTGTTTGCCTTATAATCCTATGTATGTAGATATTCCCTAATATCCGTGTGTTAATTGTGAAGTTTACATGAATGCAAATGATTTTTCTAGAAAGATATATGCATGTTTAAATGTGAAACAATTAAATGGCGTATGATGAACTTTCCCCCTGGATATCATTTATCTTCTCTTTCATGATTTTTAATTATAAACTAATAACACCTAGTGGGGGTCAAATTTGCATGTCCAACTAAATCTGCTGGGGACTAGAGAGAGAATCTGCAAGCTCAAGAACCACTGAGCTGGGATCAAATAGTGTTAGGTTTGATTTAATATTTTTTTATGCCAAAATTGTAACTTGCACATCATTTTTTTTTAATTCTTTTTAATTGTTTCTCATCAATTTGCCAACATATTAAATTCATCATATGTGACTTGATAATTGATTCCAGATCTATTTCTGTTGGTGATATTATATTATTCTGGATTTGCAACGTAAAGATTCAGACAGTTTAAGGTATGCATTTCAATCTCTCTTCTTAAACACACTCAACATTGTTTCTTTTCTCTATGCCTCACTGAGAAAACCTCTCAATCTTTTTGTTATAATTAATGTTGTTATGATTCCTTGGCTGCTATATATATACTTTCCTTCAATGAAGTTTTATGAGAAAATGAGTTTTTTGTGTTTTGTTTTTCTGGTGCAAAGAAATTGTTTTTTTTTTTTGGTCTAAGTGATTTTTATTCACGACATGAACAGCTCAACAGTTTGACAAACAGAACAGATAAGGGAAAACAGTGAACTACAAACACAGCTAGCTAAAAAGAAACAAAAAAAAAAAAAAAAATGCACCAGAGCCAGAGCTTTCTTCTAAGTCAGATTCCCAAATCTGAAAGGAACTTGATCTAGGATAGAAGCCAGTTGGGATGGGGACCTATTAGCCCAATTCAAAGAGCACATCCCTTTCACCATAGCACAGATGGGGTAACCCAATTTTTGCTGCTAATTCTTGGGATCTCCTGAAAGCAACATTGGCTTAGTGAGAAACGAAGATTCATAATATTATCCTCAATCATTGAGTGATCCCATTCCGGGCAAGTGGAAGAGTTGTTGACAGCCTCAAGTAGTGGGAGACAATCTGACAAAACAAAAACTCTTGAAAAACCATTATCATAGCACCATTTAAGAGCAGTAAACATTGCAAAAGCTTCACAAGATTTAGCTGCTTCTACTTCAGATGCTATATAGATGCAGCTACCCTCTTTATTCCACACAACGAGCCTATACCCCCTTTTCAGCATTAATATCGTAGGCTCCATCCACACAAACCAGCTCATCAAAATCCAGAAAAGACCGAGCATTAGATGCATCCATACTTTGATTATCATGAATGCAATTAATGCTTCTAGGAGCATTCAGATTATTTGCCTCCCATAAACTATCTTGGTAAGCTCTTGTCAATTGAATAATACCCTTAAGTTCAATGGTTTTTTTTTTTTTTCCTCGAAAAGAAATACACATCTAGCTTTCCATAATTTCCATAAAGTAAACCCAATCAATGCCTCGTGTATATCCTCATCAACATCATTTCTAAGCCAGCTAAGTAACCATGCATCAAGACGAGTAATTTCACTGTCAACCAGTTTAGCACGCAAACATAGCAACAGAAGATGTTCTAGAGTCTCAGCTTTATCACAACAGAAAAGACAAATAGGAGTATATGCACACCTTCACTTCCATAAGCTTCACTTCCATGAGCTTTCTTGAGTTGGAAGAGCTCCTTCTGATGCTTTCTGTAAGAAGAACCTGATCTTGGCAGGGACTTTAAGCTTCCAAATTAGTCTCCAAAGCCCATTGTCAACCATGCAAGAAGTGCTTGGGCCTTTCCTCAGCACTTGATTACTCTTTTTGGCCCATTGATATCCTTTCTTGACGGTATTTTTACATGCAGACCATACCGGTCTGTCCGGCCTATCAAAATGTGGAAGTAATATCTTGACTATAGCATCGCATTTGTCACTAGAAATAAACTCTTCAATGCAACTCAAGTTCCAGTTTCTTTGGACAATCAAATCTGAGACCAGCCACTTCTTCGCTTCCTCAGTAGGAGCTACATATTGTAACTTAAATTGAGTTAATGACGAAATCCATGGGTCACCCCAAATTTTAACCGAATTACCATCTCTTATGTTAAAACAGACCAATTTATCAAGACGTATTCTTTCTCCAAGCAAGCTAGTCCAAACCCAAGAGGCTTTGGCAACTTTTTTTGCTGCTAAAAAATTATCATCAGGGAAGTAGATGCCTTTAATCATTTGCACCCATAACTCCTCAGGTTCATTTAGCATCTGCTAGCCCTGTTTAGCCAGCAATGCCACATTAAACTAGTAGAAATCTTGAAATCGAAGTCCCCCTCCTTCTTAGAAGATGTAAGATCATCCCAACGCACCTTGTGAATCCTACCTTCCTTCCCATGCGGCCCCCACCAAAAAGAAGATAAAATACTATCCAGCTCATTGCAAACTTGCTTGCGCAAAAGAAAGCAACATATTGGGAAAACTGGAATTGTACTAACCATAAAACTCAAGGCTTGCACTTTAAATCTGCCCCATAAAATTGGCAAACCAAGATATTTCCTCAGATCTTCAACCTCTTCCACATGAAAAATATTTTTTAAAACCTCTCTAACTGGGTCAGGAGTATCTCTAGAAGAGAAAAAACAGGATTTCTAAAAGTTTATCAACTGAAAGACACATCACAATATTTATCCAAAATGCTGCTAATCATAACTAAATTTCTCTCCGTGGCTTGCAATTAGAGAACCGAGTCATTGACAACGAAACAATGTGCAATAGGTGGTTCCCCTCGCCAATTTAATTTCCTAAATAGCACCCACTGCTAGAAAGTAATTAATCATCCTAGATAACACATCGACAACAATAATAAAGAGATACGGTGACAACAGATCACCTGGCCTTTGCCCCCTTCCCTGGGTAATTTGTGGAGCAACTCTACCAGACAACAATAGAGCGAACTTAAAAAGAGCATATGCATTGACAAATCTTTTCCACCCAATCATTGGAAAACCCCAGACAGCAAAGCACCTCTTAGAAAATCCCACTCAACATGGTCATTATAAGCTTTATTCATATATAATGTTAAGGCAAGTTCAGATCTGCTTCCTCTGTTTATAGTAAGGTCGTGAAAGCCTCATGTGTTATGAGAATATTGTCAAATATAGTCTCCTAGGAACAAACGCCCTCTAATTTACAGAAATGAAGTTGATCATTCATCATATGTTTCATCTAAAATTGCTTTAGTGACCTTCCTAACCCTCTCAATCTCTCATCACTTTCTTGTAACTCCTAATCTCCTTCAATAGATTTGTGTCAAAAGTTGGCTGTTTCTCACCCTTTAACTGCCATCATTTGATCCTAGGGTTTATAACTCGTCATTTTTGCTTTTGACTCTCAACAAGCACATTAAGGACCAAGATATGGTGTCAAGTCAAGCTTTCCCTAGGAGTTTTGCAATCTTTACAAAGTCTTTTATCTGTATTCCTTATAAAAAAAAAATAAAATTGTGAATTGAAGCCCTACTCTTGCATGTGATTGAATTCTTCTCCCACTTATTAGAGTAAGTACTGACAATCTTAAATTATATGCCACTGAAAAATCAAGGACAGATTTGCCCTTCTCATTAAGTTCCCTAAAACTGAAACTACCATGAGCTCCCTCATATTCTCTTGCCTCCTTGTTGACATGTCCATGGAGGTCCCCATCATTGGAAATATTTTCTGCTTATGATGTGTTTCTTCCCTTAAGATGCACATGTATAGGAACTTATGATGTTGATAGTATCACATAGAATAATCATCCCTAAGGATAATATCTTATCCACAATCCTTCTTATTTCCATCACATTCTCTTCCAATTCTTGTCAACAATACCAATTCTATTTGTGGTTGACCGTATATTTAATGTAAATATTATTTATTAATAAAGGGGATACTGTGGGGAGTAAAAATAGGGATTTTGTAGATATCCTATTCCCGAATATCCTCTCCTGATTCCATCTCCTGATTTCTTGGAGATTTGATCATCTTCTCACATGTATAAATCAGTGTACATACTCTGGGATTCAATAATAAGAGTTTTTCGGTCTATTTGCTACATGGTATCAGAGCAACTAGCAGATATCGACGCCGAAAACTCTGAGACAGAAAGCACCGAAGACGAGACACAAGAGTTGCACCCGATTCACACTTCTCCAATGTCGAAGAGTGATGGGTCCTCGCAAATCGATCCAGATAAGGCCGGTAGTCCCCTCGGGTCGATCACTGGTCATGACGGATCATCGGTGCTCGTGGTTACCATGAAACTCAATGGCTCGAATTATCGGGTATGGGCACAGGCTATGCGACTTGCGATTGGAGGCCGAGGGAAGATGGGTTACCTCGATGGCTCATCAAAAATTCCAGAAGAGTCCAGAACGCAGGAGCTACAGCGATGGCATACCGAAAATTCGTTGGTATCATCGTGGCTGATCAATGCCATGATTCCGGAAATTCAACAAAGCTTCATATTTCTTCCATCAGCTCATGAAATCTGGAAAGCTGTGCAAGATTCATACTCTGATGGGAAGGATTTGGCGCGAATATATGAGCTTAAAACAAAAGCATGGTCACTGCAGCAGGGAGAACGTGATGTCACGGCTTTCTGGCTGGAGCTGAATACCATCTGGCAGGAATTAGACTTGATGACAGAAGTGGAATGGTCTAGCAGTAATGATGCAATCCGTTATAAGGAGCAAGTCGAGAATGAACGGGTGTTTCAGTTTCTTGCAGGACTGAATCAATCTCTAGATGATGTACGGGGGCGCGTTCTGAGCCGTATGCCACTTCCATCCACTAGAGAAGTATTCTCAGAGGTACGTCGAGAGGCTTCAAGACGCAAGGTAATGACTCCTGGAGCTATTTCTGCACCAACTTCTTCCTTGGACACTGCTGCACTTGTGAGCAAGGGCAGTGATTCAAATCATAAGAACCAAAAGGGGAAGGTCACTTGTGAACATTGCAAGAAGATTGGGCATACCCGTGACACTTGTTGGGATATACATGGAAAGCCAGCCGATTGGAAGCCGAAAAAGGGCAAGCAACGAAGTTATCAAACTTCTCATGATGTACCGCCAGATAAACCAGACTCAATACCTGAAATTGATAAGGAGCAACTAGGTAAGCTACTTGAGATGCTTAGTGTGTTGCAAAAGAATGAGAAAAACCAGAAACTGAATCCTACTGCATCTGTGGCTCACAAAGGTAAATGTGCCTTACTTACTTCTAATAGTAACCCCAAATGGATTGTTGATACTGGGGCAACTGATCATATGACCTCAGATGTTAAACTATTCAATACCTATATTCCTAGCGCTGGGAATGAAACAGTAAGTACAGCTAATGGATCTTCCTCGTCAATAGCAGGAACAGGAAGTGTGGTTATTTCTAAAGTCATGAGACTGAATCATGTTTTACATGTACCTTACTTGGCTTGTAACTTATTGTCTATAAGTAAGTTGACTAAAGAGGCAAATTGCTGGGCTCATTTCTGTTCTACTCATTGTATTTTTCAGGACCTCTTATCGGGGAAGATGATTGGCAGTGCTAAGGAGCATAACGGTCTCTACTATCTCGATGAATCAACCGTGAGTAGTCTTTGGTCTCGAATCCAGTGTCACATTGCAAATAAAGACTTTAATGATCTTATGTTATGGCATAGGAGAATGGGTCATCCAAATTTTCAATACTTATGTCGTTTGTTTCCTGAATTTCAAGTTAATAAAATTTCTTCTTCACTGTGCTGAGTGTGAACTTGCTAAACATCACAGATCTGTGTTCAAACCTGTTGAATATAAATCTACCGTCCTTTTTCCATTATTCATAGTGACTTATGGGGTCCTACTCGTATTGCTAATCGTACAAATACTAAATGGTTCATTACATTTATTGATGACCATACTAGAATGTGTTGGGTCTACCTATTACAAGATAAATCTGCTGTGCCCTCTGTCTTTTCTCAATTTTATACAATGGTAAAAAACCAGTTTGACACCACAATCCAAGTCCTCCATACTGACAATGGCACTGAATACTTTAATAAAACCATGGATATGTTCCTCACAGAACATGGAATTGTCCATAAAAGTACCTGTCCTAACACTCCCCAACAAAATGGTATTGCGGAACGGAAAAACAAACACCTCTTAGAAGTTGCACGTGCCTTGCTCTTCACTTATAACGTTCCCAAATATTTTTGGGGAGATGCAATTCTTACCGCTACATATTTAATCAACCGCATGCCAAGTCGTGTCCTCTCATTTACCACACCTCTTGAGAAATTAAAAGAATCTCACTCCATTACTCATCTTGACACCAACCTACCACTTAAAATTTTTGGTTGTTCCACTTATGTTCACTCCCATCACTCCAAAAGCTGGACCCTAAAGCCATCAAATGTATCTTTCTTGGTTATTCCTCTACACAAAAAGGGTATAAATGCTTTGATCCTCATACCAAGAAACTTTACATAAGCCGAGACGTTAGCTTTGTTGAGCATGAGTCCTTTTACCCAAACACTTCAAGTCAGGGGGAGAGGGGGAGTGACTTTCAGTTTTTGGAGAGTGAAAGTGAGAGGCAAAGGGGTAAAGAAATCACCACCATTCATGATTCTGATCCCTTCATTCTTGCACCAACAAACTCTCAAATAGAGTCTGAACTCTTAAACCCACAGTCCACCGAATTCAGGGTCCAATCTCCTAGGCCAGAAACTGAAGTAAAAAGTCTTTCAGATTGCACTGAAATTGCTGGAAATGCACTGGAAAAGACACCCATAGTCTACTCTAGGAAGAAATGGCGAGAAAGGGAGACTGTTATACCTGAAGCACAACCAGAATTCGAACCACAAGAGGCTCCTGAAGCTGGGAAAGCGGAGACAGACTTACCGATAGCCCTCAGAAAACAACCCAGAACTTGTACACAGCACCCCATCCAAAGGTTTGTGAGCTATCAGACTCTATCCTCACAATTCCGCACTTTTGTAACTAACCTTGATAAAGTGAAGATTCCCAATGATGTATATGAGGCCCTTAGCATACCAGATTGGAAGAATGCTGTGATAGAGGAGATGAATGCTTTAACAAAAAATGGCACATGGGAAGTTGTAGAGCTACCAAAAGGGAAGAGGGTTGTGGGCTGCAAGTGGGTGTTCACCCCAAAATATGATGCTGCTGGTAAGTTGGACAGATTAAAGGCACGGTTAGTGGCAAAAGGGTTCACCCAAACATATGGCTTGGACTACAAAGAAACTTTTGCCCCTGTAGCCAAGCTTAATACTATCAGAATCCTAATCTCTGTGGCTGTAAATCTGGATTGGCCTCTCCAGCAGCTAGATATTAAAAACGCCTTCCTAAATGGTGACCTTAAGGAAGAAGTCTTCATGACACTACCTCCAGGTTTTGAGGCGGGAAAGAACAATCAAGTGTGTAAGCTTAAGAAATCCTTGTATGGCCTAAAACAATCACCGCGGGCTTGGTTTGACAGATTCTCGGAAGTCTTGAAGAATGAAGGGTATAAGCAGGGATTGTCTGATCACACAATGTTTGTAAAAATGGAAGGTGGTAAGAGATGTATTCTCATTGTATATGTTGATGATATAATTGTCACAGGTGACTATGAGGAAGAGGTAGATAGAGTAAAGAAGGCTCTTGGAAAGGAATTTGAAGTGAAGGATCTTGGTAACTTGAAATACTTTCTGGGCATGGAGGTTGCAAGATCACAAAAAGGGATTTATATGTCTCAAAGAAAATATGTTCTCGACTTGCTTACTGAAACAGGAATGTTGGGATGTAAACCTGTAGAGACCCCTATTGTTGTGAAGAAGAAGGGGAAGAAATTAATAAAAGATATGGAAAATCAAGAAGATGAAGTTGAACCTGAGGAAAATGATTGTGAAGAAGAAGGAGAGAAGAATGAGCCTGTGGAAAAAGAAAGATACCAGAAGCTAGTTGGGAAACTGATTTATCTCTCTCATACTCGACCAGACATAACTTTTGCAATAAGTGTGGCAAGCCAGTATATGTGTGACCCTAGAGAAAGGCATATGGAAGCTGTATACAGAATCCTAAGGTACTTGAAGGGGACACCAGGTAAAGGATTATTGTTTAAGAAGCAAAGTCTATGATCAATAGAAATCTACACAGATGCAGATTGGGGAGGAACATACAAGGATAAGAGATCAATGTCAGGCTACTGCTCATGTGTATGGGGAAACCTAGTTTCATGGAAGAGTCAAAAGCAAAGAGTGGTCTCAAGGAGTAGTGCAGAATCAGAACTAAGGGCGTTGGCCCAAGGTATATCAGAGGTACTATGGGTAAGGCGAGTACTAGATGAGATATACGTCAAGACTGATCTTCCACTGAAGTTGTACTGTGACAACAAGGCTGCCATAAGTATGGCGCTAAATCCAGTTCAACACGAAAGATCCAAACATGTGGAGATTGATAGACATTTTATAAGGGAAAAGGTTGAAGAAGGAATTGTGTGCCTTGTCTACATACCAACAAAGCTTCAAGCTGCTGACGTACTCACCAAAGGATTACACAAGCCAGCATTTGATAGTTGTATAAGCAAATTGGACATGATTAGCATCTATGATCCAACTTGAGGGGGAGTGTGGTTGACTGTATATTTAATGTAAATATTATTTATTAATAAAGGGGATACTGTGGGGAGTAAAAATAGGGATTTTGTAGATATCCTATTCCCGAATATCCTCTCCTGATTCCATCTCCTGATTTCTTGGAGATTTGATCATCTTCTCACATGTATAAATCAGTGTACATACTCTGGGATTCAATAATAAGAGTTTTTCGGTCTATTTGCTACACTATTCTTTTTTTTTTTCCGGTACTTTCCTTGTGTATCAAAGTTTAAATCATGTAGAGGCAAGCTCCTTTGCCTTTACTCCAACCCATTTAATTTGTTGAAGGCACACGGTGTTAACTCTTGTTTGAATCATGATGTCCAATACCTCTAAAGATTTACTTGTCAAAGTCCCAACATTCAAAGTATTGAACTTGATATTGCTCCCTTAGACTAACTTCTTTATCCATATCTGTTTAACACTACACCTGATTGCCAATGTAGGGACTTTAACTCATTTGACACTCTACTCAATCCATATTGTAGGTAATGACTTGTCAGTAATACCATGTTGTTTTTGACTCATGTCATAGGAGATTTAACAAAGTTTTACACTAGTTATCAAGAGTTTAACACAACTTTCCACCTTTATCCAGACTTAAAATCGATTTGGAAACATATATAAAAGGATGAAACATAATTCTATAATAAAGTTTCTACCCACTTATGTTCAATTAACCCACAAGAAAATACGAGTAAGTCAATACAACCATTGAACAAGAACAGGGGAAAGGAAAATTGAGAGGACGAATGAAGAAATGAAGACTAAAAATAGAAACATTAACTCAATCTCCACAAAAAACAAAGCCTATTACACTAAGAAGCTCCAAAACTCTCCAAAGTAGTCCCATAATGACGACTAAAAATGGAAACGGTCAATGAGTGAAGCCCTCAAGTTTTGCTGCTATTAAAGCGGTGTTTTGCTGTCATCAATCTTTTGCCTTGACCACAAGAAGAATTGTAATAACTTTTTAATAATTACATTAATGGATATAACTTTTTTGACATAAAAGTACACATGTATGCTGATAGATGAAACAATAAACTAAAAGTTTTGAAAATTTTCCTTTGATCCCATTTCTATTCTCCTTTTTCTTTATAAACTAATAAGATCTAATCATTTGCAGGTGTAAGTGAATCTTGAGACAGAAATATCATCTGCAATCTCAACAACCATTGAAATACTGTCAGGTTTGTTTGAACATTTTTAATTTCTTTTCTTTAATCAAATGGTGTTTTTCCATTTAATACTTATCGGAAAAAAAAAGACCAATATTACTAGAGTAAATGAAAAAACTTGGGTACTTTTTTCTTATTAGGTACCTAAGTTTATTTGCTTAAAGCATTTTTTTTCCCCAATCAAATAAGGGTGTGCGCATTTTTTATCCCTAACTTACCTTGTAACTCACTGGAATTTTTTGCTTGATTTATGAAATTTATTATTTTCTTTGCTGACTTGATTATCAAACTTAACACCTTTGATTTGTCTACTTTATCAAAATTCATTTTTCTGATATTGGCCGTTAAGTCATTTTGCGATGATTCTCCACCATACTATAATACTCATCTCATATATATACTCGTACATATATTTAATTATTTTAATGGATTCTTGGTTGCTAAATTAATACAATTGATTTTGTTGTATAGGTCCTACAAGTTGCTGAAATGACAGAGGTGGTTTTTGCTATTGTATCAAAAGTCTCGGAATTTTTGGTGGACCCAGCAATACATCAAGGATATTACTTGTTTTGTGTCGGCAAACTCACCAAAAAGCTTGACGAAGAAAAGGAAAACCTGACATCAACAATAGATGGGATTTCTCAACGTGCAGGAGAAGCAAAGAAGAAAACTGAGAAGATTGAAAATGCTGTGAAGAAATGGTTGCAAGAAGCACAAAGTCTTCTGCAAGATGCGGAGAATTTGGAAAAAGAAGTGAGAGCCAGCGGTTGCTTCTGGAATTTGTGCCCCACTTGGCGAAGATATTGTTTATGCAAGCAGTTGGCAAGGAAGATAGAAAGAATGATGGAGCTCAAGAACAACAGCAAGTTTGAGAGATTTTCTAGTCCCATTTCACTCCCAACCAATGTTGAATACTTCTCCTCAGGAAACTTTATGATATTTAAATCCACAAAGTTGGCTTATGATCAACTATTGGAGGCGATGAAAGATGATGATTGCTTTATGGTATGCTTGCATGGGATGGGAGGGTGTGGCAAAACAACCCTTGCAATAGAAGTGAGCAAAAGGGCTAAAGAACTGAATCTCTTTGATAAAGTTGTTTTTACTACTGTGTCCAAATCTCCTAATGTTAGAAAGATTCAAGGTGAAATTGCTGACGAATTGGGTTTGAGTCCACTAAAGGAAGAAAGCGAGGCTGGGAGGGCAAGACGATTATCATTGGGAATGCGAAAGGGGAGGATTCTTATTGTATTGGATGATGTCTGGGGAATTTTGAATCTTGAAGACTTTGGGATCCCGTTAAATTGCAACCTTGAAGGCTGCAAGGTTTTATTAACTACACGTCTCCAACAACTTTGTTCATTGATGAATGGTCAAAGGAATGTTCCATTGCATCTCTTATCAGAAGAGGAAGCTTGGACTTTTTTTCAAAACAAAGCATGCATAGTTGATGACTCTTCTTTGTTAAATACTGTGGCACGAGAGGTTGCAGCAGAATGCAAAGGATTGCCCATTGCAATTCAAGCTGTGGGAACAGCTTTGAAAGGAAAGCCTCTTGATAATTGGAAGGATGCGTTATATAAACTAAGGCATTCGAAACCTATTGGAGTGCCCCAAGGTGTGAAAGATGCCTTTACTTGTCTTCAATATAGCTATGATGCCTTGACAAGCAATGAGGCAAAGGGTCTTTTCTTGACATGTAGTATTTTTCAAGAGGATCGTGTGATCAAAAGAGAAGACTTGTTTAGATATGGAGTAGGGTTAGGTTTATTTGGGGAAGCTAGTACATTTGATGATTTAAGGAGCAGAGTGAATGCAGCTTTAACTGACCTCCTTGATTATTCTTTGATAATGCATTCTGAGACAGGACAAAACTGCTTCAAAATTCATGATGTTGTTCGTGATTTTGCTTTGTGGGTAGCATCCACAATCAACCGTCCTGTCATAGTTGACCATGCAAAGGGGCTGAGTTCGTTGGCTTTGGAAGGAAACATAAAAAATTGTTTTGCTATATCTACATGGTCCAATAAAGACGAAGATCCATTTCCTCAACAATTATATGTTCAAAAGCTAGAGATGCTATTACTAATTTCAGCTAGACAGTAAAAGAATTTGTCTCATGCATCATTTGAAGGCATTGAAGGACTCAAGGTTATGGCTTTATGTGCAACCTATCATTTTCAAACGGTTAGTGTATCATTGCCACAATCAACCCAGTGGTTGAGTAATCTTCGAACTCTACGTCTGGTAAGATGTAATTTGGGTGACATCTCATTTGTGGTTTCCTTAAAAAGCCTTGAGATTCTTGATTTGAAGAGGAGTGAGTTCAGGTTATTGCCAAAAGGAATAGAAGAATTGACTAAACTGAAATTGCTAGATTTGAGACATTGCTCGATGATGGAAAATTGTGATGAAGTGATTAAGAGGTGTTCACAGCTTGAAGAATTATATGTGTACGGAGATGAAGCATACTTTGGGAAAAATATTTCAGATTCTCATAATACTTGGTTTCTGGAGAAGGCCTCCTTCCTGAAATTGCAAAGGTATAGATTACAATTTGGGAAAGCTAAAATTCCTCTCAAAAGTTTGCCTCTAATTTCCCGAGCCCTACTCATCAGGGAATTAAAAATCCCCACCTTAAGTATAGTTGTCAAGGATATGATGCAAAGAGCTGATTGTCTTTTTCTGGAGGACCTTGTTGGAGGTTGCAAAAGTATCATCCCAGATTTGGTTGCAGCTGTAGGAAGCATGAAGCAAGTGATCAAATTAAGTCTCTATTCCTGTTTAGAGATAGAATTCTTCATCATCTGTTCAACTAATCCATCTCAGGCTTGTCATGACTTTCTGATGTTAATAGCAATGAAGCTGAGTGCTATGAAACATTTGAAACAAGTGTGCCTTGGGCCTCCTCCACCTAAATTCTTTCAGAATTTGAAAGAAGTATTCATGTGTGATTGTCCTCAATTGACAAGAATATTTCCTGGGGAGTGCAATCTGTGCAACCTTAAAGAGCTTGTCATCTCCAAATGTCCAATGTTGACATCACTCTTCTCAAAGCAGGTTGCGCAAACTCTATTGCAATTAGAAGTCATGAAGATAGAATATTGCAGCGAGTTAGAGTGTATAATATTCGATGAAGAGGATGACATTGGTGCAACAACAAGGGAGCAAAAGGTTCATGTTTTAGAAAATTCTCCATTGACATTCCCAAAATTAAGAATTCTGACAGTTGAAGAGTGTGACAAGTTGGGATACATATTCCCAATTTTTTTTGCTCAAGGCCTTCTGGAGCTGCAAAAAATTAAGATTACAAGTGCTCCTCAGATGAAGTATGTATTTGGACAAGATGTCGCTGAAGATCTTTCAACCAATCAGAAGAAGATTCAAATTTTGTTTCCTCAATTAAAAGAGATACATTTATCTTTTTTACCAAGTCTGGTCAAAATTTGCCAAGAAAATTGTCATCCATGTTGGCCATCCTTGAAGGAAATAAATTGGCTCTCTTGTCCCAATTTAACAAATAAGGTACGTCCATGCTCTCTTATATTATATGGATCTTCAATTAATGGCTCCTGCATGATTATTTGTTAGTATAAATAATCTAAGTAGTTGAGTGACATTTTTGCGAATGGGAAATTATAGGAAATAAAATTCTGTTATGATTTATGAATAAATTTATTACTGAAATATTAATTGGTTTTAGTGGACTAGTGGTTACGTATCGAATTTCAGAACCTGGAAATACAGGAAGATAGACAATTGTGCATGTTGGATATTATGTTCACTATTTATATATTTTAAGAATTCTATCTAATTTTTTTCCAACCATAATGAAATATAATGACTTCAATATACTAATTTTAAGAATTCTAGCCTAGAAGCCTTCTTCTAATTTTCCTTATGAAAGATATTTTTGAACATAATATACTAATAATATTGCATGACATAGAAATACATTTTTTGCAAATTATATACATAGTATATAGGGAAGACATAGCTTTTGATCCTTATATTTTACTCGCGTTTTGCTTTTAGTTTTTGTACTTTTTTTTTGGTATTAAAGGCCCTGCACTTTTATTTTTTATTGTTTTCAACCCTTCTATGAACAAAGTACAGGGACCTTGGAGGGATTGAAAATAATGAAAAACAAAGTGCAGAGACCTAAAACACCGAAAAGAAAAATACATGGATCAAAAGCAAAAAGTGAGCAAAATATAAGGATCAAAAGCTATGTTTTCCCTATTATATATAAAGCATCACATAAAAATACTATCAAGTAAAGAATAATTTTGATTCTCTTTTTTTTTTTTCAATTTCCATTTATATATCTTGTTTTTCATGTAGGGACCGCATGAAATTGAGACAATGGGATGTGAAGTGCTGTGCATTAGCAATTGTGGAGTGACTGACATATTCCATGTTCGAGGAGATGGACATAGAAGTAACGATCAAGAAGCAACAACCTCCAAATTGAAAGAGGTAAAGTTAGAAATTCTTCAAGAGCTGAGTATCATATGGAGAGGCCTTCACAGCTTTACACAAATTCTAAACCTCAGTTATCTTGAATCCATAACAATTGATCGATGTGGAAAGTTGAAATGTATCTTCCCTGCTTTCATCGATAGAGGCTTTCCACATTTGATTGATCTTGCCATACATAGTTGTGAGAATTTAGAGGAGATTTTTGAAGAGAATGAAGAAGAGCTTCAAAATCCATCCAGGGTTCAAGAGTGTTTTCCCAAGCTTGAGGAAATAACAGTGACTGGATGCCCTAAGCTAAAAGTTATATTTTCTATAAGAATGGTTAAAAGTTTCCCACAATTAAAGACTTTATGGATTTCTGAGTCTTTGGAACTAAAGGAGATTTTTGGAGGTCCGAATGAAGGCATTATCTCTGACAATGAAAAGGAAATTTCAGTCCCAAACTTGAGAGTGATAACACTTGAAAACCTGCCAAACCTCACTGACATTTGCCAAGGTTTTAATTTTCTCCCAAAGGAGCTTCACAAGATTCAAATATATGGTTGCACTAAATTTGCTCCTATTTTAGAAGCAACTCGGTTTTGGAGAGAAAAGGTATGGATTCTTTTTATTATTAATTATTATTTTCATTTTGGTCAAATTCTTGGCTTGGGACATTTAATGGGCCTCCCTTTAGTACTCTTTGTAGTGCCTTCCCTTTTCAACTTTGTCTTTTTTAATTCGGATTATTAACTTTTATGTAAAATAAAAAACATTTTAGTATCTTAAAGTTTTAAAATAGTAAAGTTTTATATTTTTATAATTTTTCAAAGAAAAATATCAAAATTACACACTTTTATCTTTGAAAAATTGTAAAAACATAAAAAACACCGTTTTGAAATTTTAAGATACCCAAATGTCTTTATTTTATGTAAAAGTCAATGATTTAAAAAAAAAGACAAAATTGAAAATATAGGTCATTACAAAGAGTATTAGAGGGAGGGAAGCAGCCCAAAGCCCTGAATTTTTCACTCTCACTCTTCCTCTTCATTGGTCTCTACTAGGGCTTACGCATTTTTGTGTGCAATCGGGGAGTGATAGACATTTTCCAAATTGATGGGTCTGTAAATTTTGGTGGGACTGAGCAGTACCAATACATGGGCGGACAAGTGGTTCTGTTGGAATCCGAACATAAACTATGGAGCGGTCCTATTCCCAGAAACGTGTTGAGCTTCCAATATCTTCGTAGTTTAGTAGTGAGTCAATGCAGTACCATGAAGTGTTTGTTCCCTTTGAGTGTCATCCATGAAGGCCTGCCCGAGCTGGCTTACCTGTTAATATCTGGGTGTGATGAAATGGAGCAATTGGTTGATATTGAAGAAGACATAGGAGAACAAGAGGTTAATGCATGCATTAATAATATTCAAGTCTCAGGATGCTTTCCGAAGCTAAGAGAACTAGTGGTGGATAGTTGCAACAAACTGATCAGACTTTTCCCAGCAAAAATATTAATAGCTAGAGAGCTTCCACAGCTTGAGATTATGTTGATAGTAAATGCTGCTGAGTTAAGAGAACTGTTTGGTCAAAAGGTTGCGCTTCCAAACATGAAGAAGCTAACACTAGCCAGTGTGCCGTATTTGACATCCTCCTCGGTGGAAACTATTTCCCGAAAAGGTGGTGGCATGTACTCCATAGCACAAATTGGGTCTCGTTTGGTGCACTTGTTCGAATAGATCATATCAAAGAGAGAATAATGTAATTCCAAGGGAAAGGGAAAAATGATATTTCTGCATGTGAAATGCTCATTTAATCAAAGAAATAATAATATATAGGAATACGGTTATTATTGATTTATTTGTCATGCAAAAAGAATCCTTTTTGAGGTATTGAAAAGGGCACCCGTCATTTGAACCAATTAATATACTAGTTCAAGGGAATTGTGATTAGAGTAATTATAAATAAAATATTTTATTAAACTGATAGAGGCACTGATTCAACCAAGTTAACTCAATTTTTAATATTATGACTTTTTAACTTGGGGTTATTAATTTCCTCATTCTTTAATACCTGTGCTTGCAAAGGTATATACTCTCTTCATTTAAAATTATAAGGTAGTTTTAACATATTTATTCCTCTAATAAGTTTGTTAATAACATTTAAAATTATATATTTTTTTCATTTATTCTTATCTAATCAGGAATCATCTCAATTAAAAAAATTTATAAATCACAATCCTAATTAAAGACATTCTTAATTAAAAATATTAATGATTAAGTTGATGGGTTCTTCTGATCCAATTATATGAAAGTGTTTTTTTTTTATTAATTTCATTTCTATACAATGTGTGACATTTTTCACACTTGACATCAGATATTTTTCAGTACTTCGACGCGGTCTTGGTCATAAAGAAAAGGGGATAATGACAATTAAGGACCCTAAAAAATATTAAAGATGATTGGAATTTGAAAAGTTACAATTCAAATTTCAATATTTAGTTATTTATGACCCAAAAATCTTCTTTTAAATTAATATAATTCTACATTCCTCAATTGTCATTCTCCCTAAAAAGTATTATTCTCTCAATAATTAATAGCAGGATTTTCTTGTTTCATTCTTACCGGAAAAAAAAAACAGGGTCTTCAACTCTCTCATTATAAATTAAAATAAAAAATAATATATATATATATATATACTTATTTATAAAAATTAAAATTTTTTATTGATATATAAATTATTTTTAAACATTATTTATATTTTAAATTAGGAGTGCTATTTGTAGCTTGACATTTCCATAATCATTAAAGGCAATGTCTGTATTTAATTTGTCAACTTTTAGATGGGTTGTGTTGAGTTGGATGATCTTGCCGGCCCAAAAGATGTTAGCTTTGATGGTTTTCTACAATTTGGAGACCCAGTGATGATTTGCTTGTTTCCTGGCCCTTCTATTATGGGAGTTGGCTTCCCTCCCTCCTCTGCCCTTCTCGAGAAAGTACGAAATTTGGATCGTCTGTTTTTATTCAAAATGGATAATCCAAAATTTAATATGAATGATTTATATTTAATATTAAATTTTTTATCAATTAACTTTTCAAACATATTTTAAATAGTGTAGGTTTAATACTAATTTTTGTATAATTTTTATAAATTAGATTTAAACTATTCATATTAACTTTGAACTGTTTAGATTGATAAAAATATTTATTAATTTTTTTTATAACTTATATAATTTTTTATTTTAAAAAATTTAAAATAAAAATAAAAAAAATTAAATTTAAACTGTTTAAATTTAATTTAGACAATTCAAATTTTACAGCTTAGTGGGGGTGAGAAGGGAAGCAAACTCTACTATTCTAATGCATCCGCTATTCTAATGTGTTCGAGGAGGATCTACATTTTATGACTCATTTGAATTGAGAAAATGATTTTGGTAAAAGTAAAAATGGAAATAGAAGTGAAAGTAGGACTAAAAGTAAGGTCCAAAAGTACATTTGTTTGATGTGCAAATATAATTGAGATAAAAAATTATTTAATATATTTTTTTTATATTTCGAGAAGATTACAATACCACTAGATTAAAAAAATCCAAAGCAGCAGCAAGCTACCCCTTTCATTTAACAATCACCATTGTCAAAAATTGTCCAAAAAATAAATCAATCAAAAACTCAATAACAATCAATCTTTAAAAATTGTATAACTCCAAATAAATAATTGAAGACTAGAAAGCCACAAATCAAAGGAGCGAAGCATATGAAAGAAGTGAAAGGGGAGAGAGATCGAAGAAGTATATTGAAGAAAGCTTCTGTCCAGCCACTGCTCTCCACGACGACTCCTCCTCCTCCTCACCATTTTTTGCTCTATTTTTCCAGAAATCAAATATCAAACCCAGATAAAGGAAATCAGCCACAAAGAAATCGAAGATGGAGGTGTTGAAGAGAATGGACCAACGGACTAGGAATAGGGATCGCCAAGTGGACGTTGAAGAACCCAAATCATGCACACCAAACACACAAAGTTATGGTTTCACTTTCATTTCCACTTCCCTCCCTCGAATTCTTTGCTATCAAACAGTCCATTATGGTTTACCTGCACCCAGCAATGCTATCTAGCTGCTTTTAACTTTGTTTTCCTTGCTTGACCTTTTAGTTCTCTTAATTGAACAGTAACTTAACATTTACCGCTAGGGGAAACACTACTCAATAATGTCGTTGTAATGGGGCGCCATTGGATGGATTCAGAAAGTATACTTCATGATAATTTTGCCACGTTTTAATTTGTTTCATTTTCTGCTATGATAGTTTATTTTATTTTATTTTATTTTTTCAGAAGTCTGCTTTGATTATGGTCTATCTGATGTATAATGCTAGTTTCTGTCATCATCTCCGCATGCAGATATTTCTTCATAAGTTTTGCTTTCTGGGTGTGGTTAGTCAATCTTGTCTGCAAGTTTGATCAACTTAGAACTATTTATGGCACATCCATATGTTTTGAGTAGATAAACGCAAACTGTAACTCCCAGCATTAAAAAGATAGCAGATAACGCGCATCATAAACATTAAAGCATAAAACTTTCACCTATTTTTCAAAAAAGTTTTTATGGGCTTTGATTGAGCTAATTTCAAAAAATAAAAAATTTGCATTTTACAATGTCCAGTTGTCCTTTATTCTCCAGACACCACGCCAGGGGCGAATCTTGCCACTATTTTTCATTAGAATGATGTGATGTTATGTGGCAACCCAATTGACATCCAATAAATGATCTTAGGTGACATTTAAGATGGAATCTTATTTGGCAATCAAGTCTTAGATGGCTGCATGTTTAGCAATCATGTCTTAGGTGACATTACATATCATCAAATCATCCAAAGCCAAGTCATTTCAAGTGAAGGAAAACTCAAGTGAAAATATTTATATTCAAAAGGCTATGATATATGTTAGAAGTTTAAATTATTATATTAAAGGCCCAATACACAAGTATATACTTGGAGGAGACAAATTAGATTATGATCTTACTTTAACCCAAATGAATATTCTACGTCTTATTCTTCTTTTAAGGTGAAAGCTTCAATTGAAGAGAGAAATGAGTAGTGTGATAAACAAGCTAACAAAGGGCGTAGGAAAGTTGTTTTTAAATCTGGAGATTGGGTTTGAGTACATCTCAAGTGGAAGATTTCAAATATGAGGAAGACAAAGTTGCATCCAAAAAGTGATGGACTTTTTCAAATACTGGAATGAATTAATAACAATGCTTATAAGATAGACATCCCTAACTCTCATGGAAATGTGTCAGCTACATTCAACGTTGCAAACTTTTCTTTATTTGATATATGTGATTTGAGGACATATCCTTTTCAAGAGAAAAGGAATGATAAGAATCAATTAAGGGACGAGTTCATTTAATACCTTTGATTCATTACAGAATATTGAAGGATCAATGACTAGATCTAAAGCTAAAAAGATGAAAGAAGCTATGAATTCAATAATTACGGATGCTTTAAATGATTAAAAAATCTTGAAGATAAATGTAATTCTAGAAGAAAAAAAAAGAAGGACTCTTAGCATATTAGGCTTAACCTAAGATACTTAGGTCCATGTATCTAATTAGTTTAGTTAATGTTATTTTTTAAAATTTAAAAAATTAGTTTATCTTATTTTATTTTCATATTTAAATTAGAAAATTAGTTTTTTTTGTTCTAAATTTAAATAAGGATATAATATATCTATTAAGGATATGATCTATCCATTTGAAATCCTAAACTAACTAAGATTGCATCATTTAAAATTTTAGAAGTCTATTTAAATAGTTCAGTCTTTTGTATTGTTTTAAGAATGATTGAATTTATGAATCTAATTTTTTTTTTCAATTGTTAGGCTATTTCGATTAGTGTTGTTCCGCATAAGATGACACGTTATGTGATTTCAGATTATTGTGAGCTATCATTTGGTTTCTCCATATAAGTTACAAATATTAATTTAGATAATTTGTGTAGAAATCTCAATTGCAAACTAGGAATTACATTTAGTAATTAAATATATTATTTTAATTAGAATTCCTAATTTTACAATTATTTGAATTGATATTTATAATTTATTTTTTTAAAAAAATTAATGGATACTTAACTACATTAATTATTCCTTTTTTTAATTAATTCTCATTTCCTTTTTTTTAATAAAAAGAAAAAAATCATTTTTAATTTTATTTTGGATTAGACTAAACCATTTAACATTCTATTTTCATCCAACCATACATAGATTCACATATCAAACCATCTTCCTTTTCTTTTAAAACAAAAAAGCTTTCTCCTTTCTATTTTTTCATCATGAAAACGGAAAGTGGAAAGCTTTTTCCTCACGGCCACCGCACTCCCTCTCAAAGACTTTACCAAAATCTCAAGTGCCTATTTTCATTTAAAAAAAAAAAAAAAACTTGTCTAAACATGTTTTTTTTTTGATATTATAAAAAAATTAAAATTTGTTTTAAAAACAAAACACTAGAAATTTTTCTTACGTTTTGTTACATTTTATTTTATCAAACTAGAAAAAAAGCAGAAAACATCATATTTTCATTAAAGACAATTATATAATAAAATAATAATTTTTCATCTTTTACTTTATCATTTTAATATATTTTTATAAATATATTGTTCTAAAAAAATTACCCTACAACATTGTTTTAAAAATGGAAAAAAAAAAAACAGAATCACCAGCTTTTTCCAAGAAGATAATGAAAAGGATAGAAAAGAAGAGAAAACTTTATTATGGGATCCAGCTGAAACGACTGCATATCATCATTGCCGGAACTGTATAAATAAAAAGTTAACCGGATTTTCCATAACATTTAGGTCCGTTTGGTCAAT